TCACTAGGGTGCTCCCCTATGGGTACTGCTAGGGGAAAAACTTCCGGCACTGGTGCACGTGGCGAGCATGCACACCTATTGTGGAATAGACATGAGCAACACATCTTGAAGAACACCAGTTATGGAAAAGATAACTGTCTTTTCTTTATCTCTGTGCATGCTCCATTTAAAAAATATATTAATAGAATATTTGCCATTTCTAGAACAATAGGTGTCCCTATGACGAGTGACTTTTGTACCTCTTTTGAAGAGGATTTTTATTTAATCTTTTCTTGTACAAATAGTACATCTATTTCAAATAATCTGTTAACGTCTATTGGACATCTTTACTTTAAACATAATACTTAGTACCTAGTTACCATTGTGACTTATCCATATAATGTACATTTCACTGGTATGGCACAGAGCAAACTGCAAACAGAGCTGTTTTCTTAATTTTAGAAACTGCTAGTAATAATTCATATTCTTTCAATAGTCAAGTGTTAAAAAGAGAGCGGTTGAGTCCATGCACACACAGACATACACAGTATCTGTGCACATGTATAGAGGTGTGTATGTATATATGTTTATATAAAATATGATTAGTTATGCTTAATGTAGTTTGTCTTGACAGGAGGGTGTGGATCTGGAGGTAAATATTCTTTCACTGTGTTCATACGTGCTTCTTACTCAAAAACAAGGGCTATAAAATTGTGCCTTCTTGCCTATGAACCTAAATTGTGAATTCTTTGAAGAATTGATGGATTTGTTCCCAGAGTCCCAATTGTAATATTTTAGCTGTTCAAAAATGAATATTCTAAATCTACCATGTCTCTTGGAAGCCTTAGATCTTTTATCAAGCGTATCATAATAAACAGCCACTGTAGAAAATAGTCCCTAATTTATTACTTCATTGATTTCTGCTTTTTTAAATAAAGCAACTAGATACTTTTTTTTTAGAGAGTTGCAGGTAAAAATATGAGAGAAGCTGAAAAGATATATATTGGCAGGTTCACATTGTGCTATTGAATACTTACGGAAAAAATACATTGTTAGCAGAACTGGTAAAGTTATGAGTAATTCTTTTCTGGAAAAGAAATATATATAATCCATGTTTACACTGAACTTTCTCAAAGGTTTATGATTAAAAGAAATATTTTATTGAATGTGAGATCAAATTTTCTTCTGTGGAGTAATATGAAGTGACTAAAATGATTACAGATTTACTTTTATAGTGGGTTTCCTTTCAAAGCAGAATGCTAGCAGAGCATGGCTTTATTAGGACTATTAGCTCTGGCCTTTGGACATCTGTTTGTGAAGCTGCTATAACTACAGAATATGTTTTGTTGAATATGAGGGATTTATTTGGTTTTAGAAAAGTTTATATCTTTATGTAAATGAATAACTATGTATCTATTGCGAGTCAAATTTTTAATACAAATTAATTTTTCTGAGATATGAGAGTAATATCCGGAATTAGAGTACAGTACATATATATTAGTCTGTGCTTGCTAGAGCTTTGAACTAAGTTTCAACTCTAGCCAGCAATAAAATTCCTCACAAAATAAACAGATTGGAATCCTAGTGGTGGATTTTACATATTGAAGCCATTAAGGGTATTATATTTAAAACATTTATTACATTTAAATATAACTGAAGAACTTGTGACAATAAATAGTATTCCATTCTTACCTTTTGTTCCCTAAACATGCATTATCCATATTATGCCCGAAAAACCAATTAGCCCTCAATTGCTTTATATTCATTAGTATTAGATTTTGTTAATGATGCATGATTAGAGCATTGCATTGTTTCTAATCTCTTACATTTTCCCATAAACCCTCCTATTTTCTCCATGTAATTCATTTGGGTTTTGTTGGCATTACAGTCGTTTTGGAAAGTGTGTAATGTATACATTTTATTAGGATTTTTTTAAAACATCTGGTTCAAATGGTCTGAAGCTCACTTATGTTTTTAAAATATACACAATTTATTATGTGCCATATACATTTACATAAACCCATAGTTCTTTAACACCTTTCATGCAAAGCACGCTGGAAACAGTTTACTAATTTTGGAATTTTATTGTAATTTTAAAACAGTAAACAAAAATGGTAATTGAATTTAGACTTTTTAAAATTCTCCTGAGTCTAAATATTCTGTCCATCAGCTCCTAATGATAACCGGAGGGCCAGAGTGAACAAAGACCCTAGATGAGAATTAATTCAAATAATGTTTAGAGATGATAAGAAGCTCTGCAGCTTATCTCAAGGAATTTTTGGAGCTGGGGGAGAGAGCAAGCCTATTAGTTTAGAAAGGAATAAGACCATGCAATGATTTTATAATCAATATTGTCTTTAATAGGAACCCATGAAGCAATTAGCAATGTGGATGGGAGATGCTGAGATAAGTGAAATACCCTTATCTTGATTGGGGAGAAAAGTGAGCATAGAGTTGCCTTATAAACAATCCTAGATGTCAGAAGATACAACAATCCTGTCATATTGTCAGGTTGCCTAAAGGTTCTCTACCTAGCAGTATTTCCTACTTCTCTTTAATAATAATAATAATTAATCCAATATTGAATATAATAACATAAGGGATAGAAGACACAGTCATAGAAGACAAAGATTAAGCCATTCATCCTGGTGTTATTGTAAAGTATGATCTGATATCTTCCAAATAAATTCTTGGGCAGATTTTAATAGGTTGGGGAGCTAATTTTCAGCATGACAGTTTTCTTCAGTGTTGATTGTAAGGATTCTGTGATAGCCGCATCTGCACTTCTGACAAGGCATGACAAGGTTGAGATTGCCTCAGTGGGAACAGCTGGAAGAGGAAAATACATCCAGTTATCACTGTTAACTGATGATAATTCACCTTCTATTGCCCCAAAATACGCACTTAAGGAAGAGAATGAACTAAAGTAAAAGAGCTCTTAGCAATCGAATAATTAACTGGAACAAGATCAGATGAAAATTGTTTTTTTGAAAGGTAAGAGACTGGTATCTTCAGGACAAAAACAGGATATTGCAGTCCCTGAGCAACCAAGCATTCAAGATGAGTTGAATCATTTCAATAGCATTAATAGTTGCCCAGAGCTCTGCTAAAGCAAATGACAAATATCCTACAAAATGCTAATGATAACTACATTTCTCCCTTCAACTGCCTCATCCGTTGCAAATTAAGAACACTAAGATTCATCGATATTGATGTTATAGTTTTTCTACTTCCCTTGCCAGTCTATGGTAAAATTAATTGACTAGGTAGAAGAAAGACCAATAATCTCAGACTAAAAAGAAGAGCATAACCTATATAACACGACCCCTTCCTAACACTTCCTCTCTCTATTTACCAGTCGTTATCTCTTGTTACATTTCCCCCACTGCCCCATCTTCTCCACTCTACCGGTGACGCCAGCCTCAATATCTTATTTGTCTGCTTCTCCCGCTGACCTCCACATTGCCATCTAGACATGGAACACCTTTCCTGGCCTGGGTTTGTAAAATCCCTCCTGAACATTTTTCCTGCACCTTTCCTTTGTGTATTCAGATTTTAAACTCGTTAGACACCTGGTGCATTTTGTTACAACAATCTAAATACAAATAAATGTCAAACATTAATAAGTGGAACCCCCTAATTTATTCTCAGATGAACTTAGTGGGACTAAGTTTCCAACGGTGACTAGTGACTGGAATACTTGGGATACCTTAAAGGGGCCTGAGCACCCCACCCTTTGAAAAATTAGGCCTTTTTAAGGTGTCTTGAGTTTTGTATGTTTGTACAGTACCTAGCACAGTAAGGCCCAACCTAGTTGACACCTTTAGGCACTATTACAGTGTAATTGTTAAATACTACTAATAAATAGGAGAATAAAAATACAGTAGCAACCCTGTAATTAAATATTAAAAAATAAAGCCTGAGGGAGCAGCTGAATTGATCACTAGATTAGATGTCTGTGTCATCTTGCTGCAAGATTCAGAACAACATATTTTAAGGCTCAGTGCAATAAGTTGCCTCCTCAACTAGTGGAGTATGAAAGCTCTGTCAGTCTCCTGGGCTCTTCAGCTGTAAACTCCTAATTCTTTTTATATTTTTAAAAAGAAATTGTAAAAATATTCCCTTGTTTGCCAACTGCATCATACTATTTTAGGAATGCTACCCCCAACTATCCTTTTCATATTCAGGGAGTCTCTTAAAGTCCTAATGCAGGAGTACACTTTTGAGGAGGAGGAGGTTGGAGGTGGTGTTGGTCATCTGAGTCCTTCACCTGGATAAACTATCTGAGCAGACTGGGCAGATTAGGGAGAAATTGTATTTAAATGCTAAATACTGGAAACTACTTCAGTTGAATAGAGCTGAAAAGAGAACAGATATCTGTTGTGAGGGTTGATCCATGGGAGCACATTATTTTAAACCTTATAAATGGATGTCGTCATAATAAAAAAAACTAGTCTGGGCAGTGCACTCAAGAATGTACTTTAGGGAACAATCCTGCTTTAGTGGGAAATGGACAGAATGACCTAACAGATATTTTCCACCTCAAATTTCCATGACTCTTGGAAGGTAATTATTGTGGGGCATAATTCAGGGAGAAGAGAAAAATAAATATAAAGATGGGTATACCATATGTGGAATGATTGATTGAAGTTCTGTTTGGATAAAATTATCAAAGAAATAAACCATATTTTTACAATGCTATGCTTTCTTTAAACAAAGCCTCCAGTTTAATGCTATGATAGAAAGGAAACAGAGGCTGACTCACAGAAAGCTGAGATCACTTCTTGGATTACATGAATGTGAATATTTAAAGCTGACATTATGGAGGCTATGAAGTGTTTCTTATTGTGTCATGAGTGAATCACTGACATTGACAGGGAGAAACTAAATAATACATGATGGGAAATAAGCCCTATTATTGGAATATTCATTTTTAATTAATGTTGTGTATGTTTCTCTTTTTTTCCTTCCTCTCCTCCTTCCTCCTCCATTCTCCCCTCCCCCTCCCTCTCCCCCACCAGGGTAAATGGGAAGTTGGTGGCACTGAAGGTGATTAGATTACAAGAGGAGGAAGGAACTCCATTTACAGCTATCAGAGAAGGTATGCACTCATGTTTAATGATTATTCATTGGTTATTTTTTAATTGCATTGCGCTCACTCTCTTCAATACCATGCTATACTAAATAGCTTGAGATTTTAAATTATATGGTTATGTTCCCTGTAGGAGGCGGCTTTGGTACTTTAAAAATCAAAACCTCCCTACAACGTGGGAGTTCATGTTAAATAAAACAAATCTGTGCCTCTGTGGTTTGGCTTGTCTGAGAACTGCTATTGGGTACAAGTGACATACTAAGTAGAGTGTGTGTGTGTGTGGGGGGGGGGTGTTTGTCACTGGTATAATATGTTGGGGAAGTTTTGCTTGTTGTGAAGCAGCACCTAAAATGAGTGTGGATTAAACTTTTTGCTTATGCGAGGCCATGTTCCCTGAAAGATAGTCATATAGAACAATCTCTGCATTTTTTGACTGCGAGAGCCATAGTAGGTTCAGGGACAAATATAGCAAGCTCCTTAAAAACAGGGTGGCTGATTACCTTTTTAAAGAACTGACTGTTTATGGTTTTTGTCCCCCTCCCTCTCTGCCACCTCTAAGCCAGACAGTCTAGGAATGACTCTTTTCTAGCTGAGTGTCAAAGTTCTGTCATGCTTTCTGCTCCACTCCCTCTATCCTTTCTTATCAGCCCCCCGGCTGCTCCCTGGTGACAGCTTCTGTATCTGCGCTTGGCTGCCGCAAGCGCCTTTGCAGAAGTTGCTGCACATTCCTTGTTTAAATGGGCCTACTCTGTTGGTAAGTGCCAAAGATAGGGACTGGTGGTGAAATAAGAAACGTTTTACCTTCCGGTCACTGATTCAAATTCATCTCAGGGTATGGCTATACTACGAGGCTTTTAGCGACACGGCTGTGCTGCTACAGCCGTGCCACTAAAAGGCACGCAGTGTAGCTGCTGTTTGTCAGCAGGAGAAAGCTCTCCTGCTGACAAAACCCTTCCACCACCCCCACGAGCAGTTCACACTGGCGCTTTTCATCTGTAAAACTTTTGTCATCCAGGGTGTGTGTGTGCTTTTTAACACCCCTGAACGACAAAAGTTTTGCTGACGAAGTGCCAGTGTAGACAAAGCCTCAGGTTGGTAGCAAGCTCTGATACAGCTAGTCAGTGGTCTGTATGAAATATCTTGACAGTCCCAGTGCAGTTCCTACGGTGGGGAGAAAGATTCATGGCAGAACAGACCATACATTGTTGCATAAGCATTAAGACTGTACTAACCAGTCCTTCCACGATGGGCGAGGTGCCAATTGATAGTCTAATGTGAGGAAACTTGCGTGGTCTGTATTTGTAGTGCTGCCAGAATAATATTCATTGATTCATCTGACATATGTAACATTTTCAAACAAATATCATGTGAATAGGTATTATTGACTTTTAAACAGTTTGCTCTTGAGACCATGTTGATATTTAGGAGCATGTAAGATAACTCCCGTTTCCAATGTTAATATCATCCTGTGTCTGTCTGTTTTGAGCTGCAGATATTTAAAATCTTTTTTTTTCTCTCCAACTTTTTAAAGAGTGAATAGACATGATCATCATACTCCTCTTCACTTGTTACCTAGGGCAGGAGTTCTCAGCCTGTTTCTTTCTGAGGCCCCCCCCAACATGCTATAAAAATTCCACAGCCTGCCTGTGCCACAACAACTGTTTTTCTGCCTATCCAGTAGATTAAAAGCCATGGCCAGTGTTAGAGGGTACAAGCAAGGCAGTTGGGGGCTCTGCGAAGTTAAGTTGCTCAGGCTTCAGCTTTCAGCCCCAGGCAGTGGGGCTTGGGCTTTGGGTTTTTGTTCTGAGCTCCAGCGAGTCTAATGCCAGCCCTGCTCTCTGGTTTATTTTGGCGGACCCTCTGAAACCTGCTCGTGGCCCTGCAGGGGGCCCTGGATCTAGGGTTGCCAGGTGTCTGGTTTTTGACCGGAACCCCCGGTTGAAAAGGGACCTTGGCAGCTCCGGTCAGCCCAGCTAATATTCATATAGTTTAAAGCAGGAAAACTTTCTAGCATAGAGAAGCCCACAAACAGCCTGGCTTGAAATACTAATACTCCAAGGCCCCTATCCAACAAAGCACTTAGTCATGTATAAGACTTGAAGCGTGAGCACTTGCCTGATTTCAATGGGACTTCCTACATGCTTCAAATTATGTATGTTCTTCTTTACTGGGACCTGATCCAAAGCCCATCTAAGTTAATAGGAATCTTTCCTTTGACTTCAGCAGGCTTTGGATCAAGGCCCAACAGATTTTTCTTAAAAATATTCATGTCTTCTAGGCTGTGGAACCTCATGTAGGGTTGTGGATGCCACATGGAAATCAATTTCTATAGCTTTTGTGTGACATGGAAGCTGTGTGTGGTTTGGGGTAGGGGAGAGGAAAGGGAAAAGTGTATTTTTTTATTTTTTGGTGAACGCAAACTTTAGTTGAGAACCAGAAAAGGACAGAAAAATACACTGAAAAATGTAACTGAAGATAGTCTTTTCAGTATTGAGGCAGAACTGTACTAGGCATATATAGTTCTATGTATAGAAATAAAAATGGAAGGTAGAATAAATACTTTATATTGAACTCTTGGAGAGGCCTGATATACTTTAGACTAAAAAGTGATGAGGCTGGGAGGCGCTGAGCTACTTAAACCTGCTTCAAGAGTTTTTCTTTGTCTCCATCTGCTGATTAAAGGTGCAGCCCTACAATTTGGACTAGGAGCTAGAAAGCTGCAATTTATAAATGAGGTCAAATTCTAACTTCAGTTTTTATTTGCATAGTAGTGTTGATCTAATCAAGCCAAAAATGTGTTTCATGAGCCAGAGGACTGCACGCAGGCATGCAAGTTATACACACAGACTTCTTTCCAGAGCTTTTCATAATGTGGAAGCCAGACAGTTTTTATTCTTGCTGACTCATGCCCTATTTTCTAATTTTCCATCAGTGTATCAAATTCAGGCAAAAATCCAGCAATTTATAAATTAAAACTGGAGTAAATTAATTGTTTAACATCTCTCATGACTCATCATGCAGCTGTGGGGGGAAAATAAAATTCCTGCATTGTGTTCCTCCTGTTGGAGATGTTGTGTGATGCTAATTAAGGGGAAGTCACAGACTGAAATCTTGAGCAGTACTCATGCTGAGGGAATTTTGTAGTTGGCTTGTGTGTAGAGAAGCATATTGTTGCCATTGTGACAGCAACAGAATGAGACTCAAAGGAAAACAAAGCAACTGGGGAAAAGATTAAATTAAGAAATGCAGCAAAATAAAGCATTTGAAAACAATGTGATTGGGGGAAGAAAAATAAGTGAGGTTAGGAAAAAAGGGAAGGGAGCAAAGTAAAGAACTGTAAATATAACTGAGGAACAAAAAAATAAATAAGCAGAACACCACAAAAGCAGAGAATAGTAATTATAAATTTTGTCATGTTCCTGAAAACTTCAGAGAAAACACTTTGCTGAGACTGAGAGTAATTTTGTCGACAGCATACATTTTCTGTAGGTCTTTTTCCCATTTCTGACTCAGAGGTACCTTTGCATGAAAATAGGATCATGTCTACAAGAGCTCATATGTTCTTGCTGTCTGGTTGCCTCTTGAAGTCATAGTGCCAAATTCAGAAGTGAGTCTAACTTGCAAGTTCTCCCTGCCCTGTCTTATGCTGCCTTAGCATTGCAGAGTTGCTTACTGACATGAAATTGCTGGGTCCCTGTCACCTCTGAAGTTAGCTCACTGAATCAAAGCTAATTTAATTTGCTTCCAAGGAGCCAGAAGAGAGAAGATGTACAGTAGTAAGAAAAGCAGCTAGCAAGCAGGTGTAAGTAGGTGTGAGTTCTAATAGGCCACTCCTTTAACCTACATCACCACCTTGACTACATGGCATGTGAATTACATAAACTCAGATTCTCTTCTATTAGCATACCAATGTGTAGATTTTATCACCTCTCTCATCCCCTCTGAATTTGGCCTAGAGTGTCCTGTTTCAAACATCAGTTGATCTGGGAATGATTTACTTAGTGTATTTTCATATAAAGTCACTTTTATAAAAGCTGCATTAGCCAATGTATATTTCCTTGTGTTAAATATGGCTCAAGTTTATTCAATATAGCAATCACTGTTGCTGTGTGAAAGTATTAATATCAGTAGGCATCTAAAAAAAATCATATTAAAATCACTACAACCAATGTAATAGTTCACCAGCTCAACCTTTATCTCATGTATAATATCCACTTAATTTCCTGTAATATGCTTAGCAGAACCTTTGATCTCCTAGATTGGCTGTTGAACTGTGTAATGGAAACTATAGTACTTTTAGAAACAAACTTTTTCTTGATCATTCCACAATTTTACCTTACTTGATATCTGGGTAATTGAAATTCTTCATGATCAACATGAAGGCTTTTTTGTAGGTCTCTGTTCCCATGTATGTGTTTAGATAAACATTCTTAACCCTAATGACTAACTTTCTTTGTGAACTTAACTCATATACTATGAAGTTCCTTTCTTTGGCAGGCTCTTAAAATTATTTCATCTCCAGGCTGGCCATCTCTCATAGAATATGACATTGCTTGTCCTTTGTTTTCATATGTTATTCTCCCATATATCTATATATCTATTGACTTTGCTGTGTTTAACTTAATTGATTATTCTTAATTAAACACAATCCTGGTATTTTAATATCAAGTCACTTACTGTTCCTGAGATATGCCTTTCCAAACATCAAGGAAGCAAATATATTTCATAAGAATTGCTTAAATGTTATCAATTTTTACAATTAAATCACTTCTTTTTAATCCTGAAAGTTGCATTTACCTGATTTTCACCTAGCTTTAGTTGCTCATTTTTTCTTTATTTTTAGTAATCCAATTTTTATAATTAGGACCCTAACAAATTCGTGGTCCATTTTCGTCAATTTCATGGTCATAGGATTTAAAAATAGTAAATTTCATTATTTCAACTATTTAAATCTGAAATTTCACAGTGTTGTAATTGTAGGGATCCTGACCCAAAAAGGAGTTGGGGGT